TCACTAATGCCGAGGATATCAATCTTTATGTGTTCCATTTCCTTTTTGACAACTTCCAATTTTCCTAGATTCATACTTCGTACATTCCATGTTCCGATGACTAATGGATGTCTGTGGCTGTTTCTCTTCGATTTGAGTGGTGTCACATCAGCAAATGAAGGTCTCGAAAGCTTTCTCTTTTCCATATGAGTAAGGCTGGGTTTACTCAGTTGTTGCAACTCTTTCTCAGTCCTATTTTGAGAGCCTTTTAGCCTAAACGGACTATTCCTAAAGGTGCATGGTAATGTACCAAACAGTATTTCTTTGCTATTCATAAGGTTTTCCCTGGCCAATTCTTTCAGAAGTGGACGGCCTCTTCCTTCTTCCTAGTCTGTCTCAGTCTATATATTGAGCCCTTAGAGTACGCTTAAGGACCAGAACTATATTTTAGTGCTTCCTCTTATTTGGCAGAAAGCTCTACCCTCTTAGACCTCTGGTATCAGACCACACTGTTGTAGATGTGCCTGAGCTTACGAGAGTCCTCATTTCTGTATTTTCTCTGACACTGATCTTTCCTTGCACAGTCTAGTGGAAATTATGTCTTTTATTCTCCTGTCTCTTCCTTATGAGCTAGCCTCGCAAGAAAACATGGGGCTAAACCTTCTAGATTTATAATTTCCTAGAGATAGCATAGGCCATAGATTTGGGAGTCAGTGAAACTTTGCAGACTGTTTTCAGTTGAGCAGTTGAGGCCCCAGGAAAAAAGGTATCTTGCCCCAAACCACAATCATCTTCCCCACAATTGCTATACGACACAGTTGTCACACAGAGCAGGGAATCACTCTTGGTTTTTCTTTTTCCTTTTTTAGATGACAATGGAAATATCTTTAGATTCCATTTTTTTTGTGTATATTAAGTATATATATGGAGTCCTTGGGTGGAGTAATGGTTATTGCTCTTGGCTACTAATAAAAAAAAGTTGGCAGTTTGAGTCTACCCAGAGGTACTTCAGAAGAAAGACCTGGCAATCTATTTTTTTTGTTTTTAATTGTGACTTGGGTGAAAATTTATAGAGCAAATTCACTTTCCATACAGCAGTTCACATATACTTTATGTCATGACATTGACTACAATTTATCACAATGCAACAGCTACCCTCCCAATTCCTCCTGATAGTTACCTCTTCCCTGTGTCCATCCCTCCATGCTCTCCTGCCCCCTGAGGTGTCTCCCTGTGCATAAACAGCCCTTCTTTCTCCCATGATTGTTCTCTCCAAGGAGTGTATCTACCTCAGGTAAATGTTCAT